CAGCAGAAGACTCCAGACTCATGGAAAGAGACAGGCTGTGTGCTGGCGGCCAGGAGGCTGGCTTGCAGAATGTGCCTTTGGGTTATTTAAATGATTATATATTCCTGAGTGTTTCTGTGTATATCGAAAACAAAACAAGAACACCCACACTTGGAGATAATACCCACTTGACCTGGCTTGAATGACTGGATGATTAGAGCTCAACTAGAAGAAGAAAGAAGAGGAAAAAAAGAGTAATCTGATACAATTTGATGAACTTGACCTACACCTAGGTATCCAGTAGCTCAAAAGAGGGAACAAATCTATACAGCAAGGATCATTCCCACCCCCTCCATATACAGAGTAGACAGGGATGGGCAACTTGGACATTGGCTACCCAAAATAGGGGGAGGGCTACAAAGGCAAGAAGTGACTGGCTTACACGCTTTCAAGAGGGAACCTAGATCCAGAGGGCACAGAGGAAGGTAGAATCTCCACTGAGTAGTATCCAATCTGTCTAGGCAGGGCTGATGAAAGGAAATGTGGATAGGTCTCTTGTGATACAATAGTGAATAATTGCTATCAGGGCTGCTTGTGAGGGTTGGGAATGTAAAGGTAGACGTTTTGTAGCAAGGAGGGGAGTGATTAACTTTTCAGTCTAGGAGCTGAGGTCCCTGGGACCATCGAGGGAGAAGAGTGGAGAGTGGAACACTACCCAGAAAAGCAGTGATGCCTGAGATGGAGGCAGAGACGATGACATGGAGAGATGGAGCAGCTGGGGACTTTAGACACAGAGAGGGAGAGGGGATATGTGCTGAGGATCATACACCCTTTGGTTGGTTGGTGATGCATGAAGGGGATTGTAACCATGGCAATGAAACGATTTACTATACGATGAATGTAAAACTAATGTTCTCCCACGTAAACTATCACATTATTCACAATAAAACATTTAAAAACAACAACAACAACAACAACAAAAAAAAACCCCAGAGGGAATAGAAGCAAATACTGTTGAATGATGATGCATGGAGATTATAATCATTGCAATGAAACGAAATACAATGAATGCAAAACCAATGTTCTCCCATGTAAACTAACACTCAATTCATAATAAAAGCTTTTAAAAAAAAAAAGATTTATTGCCTTGGAAACCCTATGGGGCAGCTCTACTCTGTCTATAGGGTTGCTAGGAGTAGTCAACAAAGGGTTTATTTGTCAATATAGTGAGTTTCCTTTGTAGTTCTAAGTATTTATTTTATGCAGTTAAAAGAATTGTTTTTCCTAAGAAAAGGTCCATATGCTTCATCAGATCACCAAGCGGGGTCCATGGATCGTTTAAAATTCTGCATTATTAAAGAAATTTAAATTCTGTGTTCTAAGAAGACAGATTTGTTTTATGTTATTTCCTTGCTGCATTCACTTCACACAGTTCATTACCTGGCACATTTTGTTGTTGTTGTTAAGTACAATCAAGTCCTTTCTGACTCATAGCAACCCTGTATAGGGTTTCCAAGGAGCAGTGGTGGGTTTGAACCACCAACTTTCTGGTTCACAGTCCTGTGCTTATCCTATGGCTCAACACCTGGTACCTGGTAGGTGCTTAATAAGTGTTTACAGAATGAATAATAGAATTCTTTCCCAACCATCCTCTACACTCCCTATTGGCAGAACCACTGCTTGTCCTTTGGTCATCTGAGAAGAAAGGACATTCTGGAATCTAGTTCTGTCCCTGCCAATCTGATTCTGCTCACAGAAGTGCGTGGCACTTTAAAGACCCTGGGAACTTCATACCTGGCAACAGGGCCCTCTATTGCAGATGAGTGGGATGAGCTTAGGATACCAAGAGAAGTAGCTTCAGCATGGGAACAGGCAGGGCTCTACAACCTCCTCCTAGTTTATGTTTAGAGTCCTGGAAAATGGAGTCCCTCTTCTTTGGTCTTCAGTGAAGACTAGTTTGGAACTGGATTCGACCTTTAAAGACATTCTGGTACCTTAAAGACTTTCTCCCTTTTGGAGACCCAGGCTGCGTAGCTCCAAAAGGAACAAGAACTCTAGGCAAAGAACATCCTCTTCTCCCACACCTCAGTCCAGGATATGAACACCAGGTCCAACTAGATTAGAATCTCATAACTGGTTCCTAAGAGTGTCCCTGATGATCAAAGACCCTCTTGACAGGGTAGTGAAAAGGAGCCTGAAATGCCAGGATGAGGAGCTGAGGATTTGATTGAGGGGGCAAATAAGAATCATGGAAGCACAGATGAAGGCCTTGCTTCAAGGCTAACCTCTTACCACAGGACCTTAGGCAAGTCATTTCTCCTGGTCTGATCTCCCAGCACAATTAGCCTAAGTTTATAGATGGTAAAACAGAAGCCCTTCAGAGAGAGCAAGGGAATTCCTTTGTGAGGCAGGGCAAAGTGAGGCAAGAGTACTCAGGCCAACTGTCTCAGATTGGCTGGGATCCTCTTGCCAGGTTTCTCTCTTCTTGGCCTATTCCAGGCTCTTTCCCCCTGCAGCTCCCCACCTCTCCACATCAGTACCTGCTCCTTGGAAATGGCTCCAGATATTGGTATCTCTTTCCTGTGAGCAAGATGCTTTGACTTAGAATTTAGTACTTTGAGTTCTGGCCCTGAAGTATCGTGTTAGTTTGGACAAGATGTCCCCCTTTCTGGGCCTCAGTTTCCTCTTCTCACCTCTGATTAATTATGGAGAGTGATGTCCAAGCACAGATATTACAACCATTTCACAGAGGAAATCCAGAAAGTAAAGGAACTTTGCCAAACTCCTTCGTATTCCTCTTTTCCCAAATTTGAATCTTTTAAATTATAACCTCTTGAAAGTACTCATAAACTAGACAGATCTCTCAGACAAAAGAACTACAATTAATTTATTTAGATACTCTACCCCAGAAAGATTCGTGGCTTCCTTCCAAATAGTATAGAAAGACGGGGAGAGGAGAATTTTATAGTGGAGAGACCTAATAAACACCACCTATCAAGGTCGGTGGTTCAAGCTCACCAGCTGTCCCTAGGAAACCCTATACAGGGTCGCTATGGGTCAGAACCAACTCGATGGCACTTAACAACAACAATCCAAGTTAACAAGGTTAACATTAACAGTGATAAATCATGTTGATAGCGTGTACCCTTAAATGATTTGTTGAGAATGGCACCGTATCTCTGTGGTCTTCCTTCAAAAACCTCACAACCCCCGTCTAATTATGAGAAAAACATCAGAAAAATACCAGTTGAAGGACATCTACAAAATACATCACCAGAATGCTTCAAAATGTTGATGACTGTTGTTATTCCGACTCATAGTGACCCTTAATAGGACTTCTTAATATATATTTTTTAATCTTTGCAGGAATAGAAAGGTCATCAAAAACAAGGAAAGTCAGAAACTGTCAGTCAAGATGAACCTAAGAAGACATGACAATGAAATCTAAGCAGCATCTTGATGGGATCCTGAAACTGAAAGAAGAAATTAGGAAAAAATAAGGAAATCTGAACATGGACTTTGGTCAATAGTAGTGTATTATTATTGGTTCATAATTGTGGCAAATGTACCATAATAATGTAAGATGTTAATAATAGGACAAACGGACTGTTGGGTCCATTAGCATTCTCTGTATTATTTTCACAATATTTTTATAAGTCTAAAACTCTTCTAAAATAGTTTACTATTCTCACTCTCTCCAACCTATTATCCTGACAGTCACCAGAGGGCATTCTCTAGAATGACCAATCAATCTGAAGCCTTCCTGCAAAATAACTTTGCTTTGGACAGAAAGTTCAGGAGGTATAATACAGAAAACAGATATTGCATTATGATTCAGAAACTGGGAGATATTCTTTGTGTCTATTGAAATAGTTACTATATCCAAAAATTAAAAGAACATAACCATTTCAAGGTCTCCAAGATAAAGCCTGCCTTTTAGATAACCAATTTCCTTCAATACCCCTCATACAGCTACATAGTAATTTCCTTTTACTTTCCCCTTATCTCTAAGCCTTTGCACACACAAGCTCCTCATTCTAAGCCATCTTTTCATGTCTCCTTTCCCAAACCTAGGTCCAGGGACCCTGCACCCCTTCCTTAAGACGAGAGAACGTTTTCTGCATGACTGCTACGGTATCTGGACCAATTTTTTTCTACTACATGCTAATGAGAAAAATGTCCAGCTTACACTAGGCCTACGGAAAGATTTGACACAAAATAAAGAAAAAGATAAATCATTAAATGAATGCTCTGAGGGCACAAGGGAAGGGCAACACACTCTGTGCCTACCCATGGAGTCTCTAGCAGAAGCTAGGAATGGAAAGGGCTTCCTCAGTATTGCCCTGTCATTGGCTAAGGTGGTCCACACTGGTGTGACACAACACTTCAGCAGCTGGAGCTGCCCCTAGACCAGCCAATCTACCTGCAACTATCATCTTGTCTACCACTGCATAGATGAGATGCTAGTTGAGGGCCAATGGGAAGGGGAATGGGTTGCTGGGGGAAGAGCATCGGACAGGACAAAAGACAAGCAGCAGCACTTTGAATCTGCTTAGATTTTATTAAGATTACCAGGGTTCACAAAAAACGAGGCAGGGTCTTGGGGCAGGTGGTGGTGGTGGTGCAGGAATATGGCCCTGGTGAAGTGGACTCCTTATACCTACACTAGGCAGGCTAGCAGAAGGCAAGGAAAGGAGAGGGATGAAATAGGAATAGATGCTTGGGAGGACAGAATGGCAGCAGAAATCCCCAAGGCCACTGCGCAAATATGATGAAGGCCACAATAGCCCTCCCTGCTTCAAAATCTGGGTGGGAAAGGGAGCTGGGGCCAACACTAACTAGGAGACAGGAGCCCTGGCAAAGGCAACACAATACGTTTAGCAGCACAAAGGGGGAGGGGGAGGTGTCCCCTTCTCCCTCACCCCAAAATAAGAACTCTGCAATTACTAAATCATAAAAATTAACTTTAAACTTGTGTAGGTCTTCAATGACTTCCCTAAGTATGACGTGAGGCCAAGGCCTTAGCTGAGGGGGAGGGCAAACGGAGGAGGAGAAGGATACTGAGCTACTCCTCCCACCAAGGATAAGGCGTCTATCTTGTTCTGCCCTACTTTCCCACGGCGATCCAAGCATTTTCGGCCTCCTCCATATCAGAGTCACCACCGCCATCCTCTTCATGGTCATCACTGTCCTCCACTTCTTGCTCACTGCCGGTATCTAGGAGAGAGAGGCAAGGAAGGGGAGACAGAACAGAGCAGTTAGACTGGCAAGTAAAAATCACTCTAGTAGGGAACAGAGCCTATAGCCAGGGATTTTGGAAGCCTTGGACTAATTGCCAAGTGCCATTGTGTGCAATAAGCAACCAAAAGTGTGTGTGAACTCAAGCAAGCCCACAGTGAGGAGGAGTGAGAAAGAAGCAGGAAGGCAGGGTCCTGTCAAGATTGATACATCTCTGAAGTAGCTTTTTGTTCCCTATATAGTTCCGTGGGAGAAAGATGAGGCTTTGTGCTCCTGTAAAGATTTACAGCCTTGGAAACCCTGTACAGGGTCGCTGAGTCGGGACCGACTCCACAGCACATAACAACAACAACAACATATAGCTCAATGTAGGAGTACTGGTAGTACAGTAGGTTAAGTCTTGGATTACTAACTGCAAGGTCAGTGGTTCAAACCGACCAGTCACTCCACAGGAGAAAGATGAGGCTGTCTGCTCCCATATGAAGAAATGTATATATACAGTCTTGGAAACCCTATAGAGCAGTTCTACTCTGCCCTATAGGGTAGGTATCAGTCAGAATTGATTCCATATAGTGGGTATGCCTCAATGTGTATGTCTTCCTGAGCTTCAACTTCAAATTAATAAACCTTCCCTTACTGTTTTTCACTAGGCTGACCCAAAGAGGTCTCAGTCAGTATTCTTCAACCTAATTCCCTATTCCTACTTCAGGGGAGTCCTGGTATGGCACCGTGGGTTAAAGTGCCAGACTGCAAAGCCATTTGAACTGCAAGGTTGGCAGTTCAAGCTCACCAGCTGCTCCTTGGAAACCCTCTACAGGGTCGCTATGGGTCAGAACCAACTTAACGGCAGTTAACAACTCTAGGAACGGGCAGACAGCTCTGTCTCCACTTCTAAGAAGAGAGAGATACCATCAGGTGGGAGGTGGGAGAAAACCCACAACTACCTGTTTCCTTTTCTACCTGAAAATAGCATCTGCTCATGCACTCACAAAGCCTCCACCTCTGTCCTCAATGGAAACTATAGCCCCAAACCCCAGCATTTATTGGTTTTCCTGTCTCTCCCACCTTCCCCAGGGGCTTACCTTTCCAGGCCTACCTCTCTCCTTTGTATGCCTAAAGCCAGGTTCAAACATCTTGCCTGCCCTCTGCTATCCTCTTCCCCTACAATTTTGACTCCATTACCTTACTCCCTTGCTCATCCTCCCCTTCCACCTGTGATTTGGCTTCATTTATTTAAGGAAATGACTCTCACTAAGGTAACAAATGATCGAATTAGCCCCATAGCCAATGGACACATCCAAGTCCTTATTTTATTTGACCTTTCAGCAGCATTTGGCATTGAATGCAAGGTTCCATAACCTGGTTTTCCTATCTCAACCCAATCATAATCTCAGTTTCCTCATCTTCAAAATGGGGACAATAATAGTAGCTACTTCATTAAGAGTTGCTGTGAGGATTAAAAGAGTCAAAACAAGAAAATCACATGAAATAGTGCCTGGCACCTAGTAAGCACTTCATAGATATTAATTAGACCCTGAATTCTTACCAGCCTATAAATATCAGAAGCCTCAGGGCCAGGACTCTGCTCTGGCTTGCTATCCTCTCTGTTTAACCAATCCAAGTTCATCTCATTTGCAGAACATATAACCAACTATTTGCCTGGTGTGGCACTATAGGATAAGCACTGGACTGCTGCTAACTGCAAGGTCGGTGATCTAAACCAATCAGCCACTCCTAGAAAACCCTACACAGGATGGCTGAGTTGCAAACAACTCAATGACACTTAACGACACTTGCCTCTGAGCCACCTATACCTAGATGTCCGATAAGACCTTATAACTTTTACATTCCTCCCTCTACTTCACCAATCCCACAACCACATCATTACCCATCCTAGGAAATGCCACCTTCTTTCACCAGGCATCCAGGTCTGAAACAAACCTGAGAATCACCTTAAGTGTGTTTTCCCCCTCACATTCCCACATGCAATGTTTCCTCAGCAGTTCCCAAAGACCATTCTTCAAAGAACAGCAGGTCCCAAAGAACAGTGAACAATAGTGGCTTCTGTCTTCACAGAGATTTGGGAAATGCTGGGTTCCACCTTTCCAGCATTCCAAATGCTGGGTTAATAAAAAGGTTCTTACATTAAGACTTCTCAGAACCTTTAAGGTGCTAATGTACCTGTGACTCTACAGGAAGGTATTATTGTGTGCAGTATTTCCCCAGCATAGTTGGCCACTGAAATCTCTTTTTGTGAGAAGCAGCTTTCATAACTAATGAAGGGTTCTTGTACTATCGTCACCCTTCCAGGTCTTGTAACCCTTTTCCCCAACGAATGCTCCATTCTCTAGTTTTCCCCTTCCCCACTCTTCAGGTAGAATTACCTGTTCCCTCCTCTAGGCTCATAGAGTACAGTATTCACTTCACCTCCATATACCAGCCTCTAAACAAACCTGGGATTTCCCAGAAAAGTCAGGACTTGGTATTGTTGTTGTTAGGTGCCATCGAGTCGGCACCGACTCATAGCGACCTTATGTACAGCAGAACGAAGCAATGTCCGATCTTGGGCCAACCTCACTACTGTTGCCACACTTGAGTCCATCGATGCTGCCACCTGGCCAATCCATCTCATTGGGGGTCTTCCTCTTTTTCTCTGACCCTCCGTCAGGACCTCGTATAGATGTATTAAATTGCAATGTGATTGCCTCTGTGCTTGTATCTGTATGTGTATGCATATGTGTTTGTGTGTCTGAAGTATCCTGTGTAGTTTTCTACCCACTGTTTCTAATCTCTCTTATCACTGTTCATTTGTCTTTTCTGTCTACCTGTCACCCAGAACAGAAATCTGTTTCAATGGTTTTGTTAAATGTTCCATGACCTTTGTTTAAAAAATTGCACAAAATGCTTTTGTTTTTTACTGCACAAGAGTGAATTGTACCCTTTGGTTGCTTAAATGACTATATATATTCCTGAGTGCTTTTGTATACATCCTCTCCCATCCCCCCAAGAAACAAACAAACAAACACCAGAGGTAATAGAAGCAAATACTGTTGAATTGTGATGCATGGAGATTGTAATCATTGTAATGAAATGATGAGTGTAAAACAGATGTTCTCCAATGTAAACTACCACTCAAGTCACAAAAAAAAAAAAAAAAAAAAGAGTGAATTGTGTTCCTGTCTTAAAACCCTGCCCTTTCTCTGAGAAGAGGGAAGAAAGGAGGGGGTACAGCTCACCTTCCTCACTGTGCTCCTCTTCTTCCTCTGAGATGTCCTCTACCTTATCCTTATAATTGTTCTTATCGTGATCCTTATCAGGGTTTTCATCATAGCCATCAATGTCTCCATCATCATCACTGTCTTCATTGTCACTGTACTCATTGTCACCTTCGTTGCCATCATCACTGCCCTCAATATCATCTTCAGTGTCACTATCACAGCTGCCCAGGCTGGTGCTATTGTTGCTCATGCTGTCATAGTCACCAATGGGGTTCCTGCTGTTACTATCAGTGCTGTCGTCAGGGCTCTCGTTATTGTAATAGGGGCTCTCATCTTTGGTACTCTCACTGTTGTCAGTGGTGTCATTGGTACTAGTGGTCTCACTGTCAGGACTCTCATTGTGGTCAGAGCTTAGACTGCCACAGAGATTCTCACTGATGTCAACTACCTCACTGTCAGCGGTTTCATTGTCAGTTGTCTCCAAGAAGTCAGAGACCTTGATGTCATAAATGGTTTCATTGTCAGTGGCTGTATCAGTGTCTGAGGTCTCACTGATAACATCTTTTACTGCTTGATAGTCATCAGTGTCTTCCAGGATCATCACTTCACATTTCTTCTTGGTATTACTGTGGGAGAATCTGGGACAGAGTATGGCGTTAGAGTATATGCTGGGAGGGGTGGGGGTAGGGGAAGGGAAGGGAATATCCAGGGAAGATACTTAAAGGTGGCAACTAGGGAGCCGGTACCCTACAAGGGTTTCCAGAGATGAGCTGGGGGGTGGGGTGGGGGGAAGAGGCCCATTTCTATACCTGAGTGACTATAGTCTCAGGTCAATCACACTCTATGTCTGGGCATCATTCCACCACTTGTAAAACATATTGGATTGGATTATCTCAAAGGTTCCTTTTGGCTCTATAAATCTTGTGTGGCACTAGCCTAGTCTTTTCCTGATCCCTAGCAAACCACCTCTCAGCCACCAAACCCCAGTCACCTTTCTTTCTCTTGCTTCTTTCTGTTTGTCCTGTAGCCTCTTTTTCCCAACATGTAGTAGCGTAGCGGATTAACCCACAGGTCATTCTTGATAATCTGTTGAAAGAGAGGGGAGAAGGGAGAATAAATCTATAGTATAATCTCCAGATCTGTACTTCCAATTCCCTAGGCACCCAGGGGCAAGCTTAGCTAGCAAGGTATTCTTTGACAATGCCAGGAGGAGCCCTACCTCAGCAATCATGTTGGCTTCTGGGAGGCTGTGGTTTGAGAACCAGTTGAAGAAGCTGTGGCTGGTGTTTCGGTCCCTGTGACTGTGGTCCTGGGGTTCCTGGCCTCGGTGCCAGCGGATTGGGGTGGAGTGAGACACTAGTTGGCCTGGCAGAAGAGGAAGCTGTGAAAAGGGAACTGGGCAAGGGGATGGACTTGCCCTGGGAACACCTCTTACCTGTACGGTTATGCTGGAACTCTTTGACAATCACCATGTTTGTAAAGTAGGGGTTTGTCTGAAAGTACAGCTTCATTTTGTAGCCCATGGAGACATGTCTGAGATCCTGTACCTGCTCAGGGTGGGGTTAATGGTAGGATCTGTTCCTGCCACACCACGGCCCCTCCCACCCAACCCCCTCACCCTCCAAGATCAGACTCCTTGCCCGGTCCTACTTTCAAATGTCTCTTTGGCCTAACCTGTAGATTAGTCAAGTAGCGAAAAATGTCTTCATCACGTTGGTTGATCAAGGTTGCAATTTTGGGGTGGTTGAGGAACTGATGAGGGGAGCAGTTTAGGTCAAGGATTAATTGTTCAATGAGGAAGGGAAGAAGGAATGGATAGACAAGGTAGAGCAGAAGACAAGTTAGAGCAAGAGGATTCCTCCTTTGTTCACATGATGTGAAACAAATGCATACTTTTTTTATTCCCATGATACTATGTGGTGAAAGTCCAAATTTATGCAATGTTAAATGTCTGTTAGGTGGTCTTGGCCACAGTTCATATACTTGCTATGTATCCATCTGGGTACTAAGGGGGTCATGCCCATGTGATGTTGTTTCTAGGTGCTGAGGGCTTGTGTTCCTAAGACATGTGTCTTAGGCTAAGGGCCTGTCAAGTGATGGTGTATCTGGTTGCTGTGGTCTCATGATGATGTATGTTTGTGTTTGAGGGCTTATGCCTAAATGATGCTATGTTTGAGCATTATGTACTGAGGGCCCATAGTCACATAATGCTGTGTATCTGTGCGCTGAGGGCCTGTGATCACATAATACTGTATCTAGGTGCTAATGTCCTATGTCTACATAATATTATATATATGGGCACTAAAGACCTTTGTTCATATACTATTGTATATCTTGGTGCTGAGGGCCTATGTCTAAATGATGCAGTATGGTTGTTAAGGGCCTGTATCTATGTGAACCTGTGTCTGCAGGCTGGAGAAATGTGTTCATATGATCCTATGGTCTGTATGCTGGAGGTCTATGATCATGTCATATCATGTGTCTCAGTGCTAAGGGCCTATGAACATATGATGTTGTATATCTATCTGCATGTTGGGTTCCTGTGTCCAGAGGTTGCTGTTATGTCTTGGTGCTAAGAGTCTGTGATCTAATAATGCTTTGTATCAGGATGTCATGGGTCTATAGCCATTTAATGCTCTTTCAGAATATGCATTCCATGTGTTTCTAACATGTTGCATGTACCTGTGTGTGCCCCAGAGTTGAGCTTAGCAAGCATCAGTAGTAAATGGGATTCCCCCCCACCCTTCCCTTCATTTAACTCTTTGATCTCTCCATACCCAGGTTCTCCCTTCTCCTGACCACAGGGGCCCCAGCCCTTTTATCCCATTTCCCTCCAATGTGGGGTATTTCCACCAGGAATGGGGTCTCCTGAGTGTCTAAGCAAAGATCTAGGTTTATGGAGCCGTGTTTGACTCTTGGTATTTCTCTGTTGTGTCCCTCCCTTCCTTCTTTACCCTCTCTGGGTTCATTTTTCTGCTATGTGACTTTCCTCACTGGGCTTTACTGTCTCTGAAGCAGTTATCTTCTGTGTTCCCCTCCCTCCCTTTCTAAATCTTTGGTCCAATTTTTCTGCTATGTGCCCCTCTACTACCCACCCCCATTCACTGTTTATAATCTAGTTTTTTTATGCTATGTCTTTCCTCTCATTTCGCTTGGGTGGTCCAGTTTTTATTCAGTGTGACCTCCCTTATCTATACTCCATCTTCTTTGCTGCTTGACCCTCCTTCCATCTGTCTTCCACAAAATCTACTCATTTTTCTGATGGTGAGCCCACCCCCATCTTTGTCCCTCACTCATACTGTTCCTCCCCTGACCCCCCTTTCCTGTCATGGTCTCCCTGTGCATGAGTATTGACAAAAAGGATACTGCGTTGACCCAGAAGCCTGGGATATGCCGGATAATGAGGTCTCTGTTTTCCAGAAAGGGTCTTCGCATCTGGATGAATTTGCGCTTAAGACGAAGGAAGGCCTTGCCTGCCTTGATGTTCACCGCCTCCAGGTCCAGTTGAATATTCTCCAGCGCCTGCAGAATGTTCTCCATCCTCTCGGCATTACTCCTTTTGCTTCTCTTCTTCACCTTCCTCCTCCTCCTCTTTTTCTCACCTTCTTCAAGCTCTTCCACATCGATAGCAGCTTCTTCCTTTCTCTTTGGATTAGCTAACCCCTGGGACCGACGCCGCTGCCGCCGACGCCGCCCTGTACTACAGGTTTCTCCGGCCTGCTCTCCAGCAAGGCCACTGGGCTGGGGAACCTGAAAGCCGATTTCCAAGCTTCCCCCAGAAGCCTGAGGAACAGAGAGTGCTCCCAGGCTTTCCGTTGGAGGGGGCAACTCCCCGCTGCCTGACTGGATTGCAGGCTCCCAGCCGGGACCCCTAGCGCCCAGGGTGAAGTACACGCGGATTCCCCCCTCTTCCAGAACAATATAGGGTGGTGGCGGGGGCTGAGCGGGGCCCACTCTCCCCCACCTCATGTCAGCTAGCACCTGTGCCACCTCGGTTTCCTCCTGGAGCGTTGGTCTCTGCTGAGGTGGAGACAGAGGCGGCGGCAGACTAAGCTCTGGGAGCTCGGGGCTGTTCAGGCGACGGGCCTTGGAGGGAGGCTCATCTGGGCGGTCCATGGTGACGGAGATCACACAACTTGGGTGATCGCACTCGCTATTTCGCTTTCCACCGGGGAGCCTGGAGCTTCTGCCAGTCACGTCTGAACTGGAGTTGCCGCACCTCACAAGACCACAGCTCAGAAACCGCTAAGCTCTGGTGTTCCCTCCCACAGAGCCCGCCCTACACCCTCCGCGCCAATTGCCAATGTCCCGCCCTTTCTCTGACGCATTCTGTATTGGCATTGGCTGCCAGTCGCCCACGGTGGCGCTCTTCAGCCTCAGCCTACTTTCAAGCAATCTGCTTGCCAACGCTACAAGTAATCGTGTTCCAATTGGATACTACACTACCCGCCAATTACAGGGCGGACTCCTCCAGCAACAAGAGGGAAAGGAAAGACGATTGGCTGGGAGGAAAGCCACGGAGTCGCAACCCTTCTCCCTCGCTCTCTCAACTATCAACCCAATGGGAAAAGTACCAGTGGTTCTAAAGAAAAACAAAATAAAATACAACAAAATACCACATAAACACAGGCACTGAGCAGGATGTGCTCAAATAAAGTTGAAAGAACCTCGCTGTGGTTTCTCCCTTTCCACTCCGGGACTACGCACTTGGTAAATCTGCCCCTCCCCCATTGTCTGCTTTTGCGAAGGGGGGGCGGGGGGGGGGTGCACGCTGATTTGACCCGGGCTCAGGTTACCTTAAAGGAACTTGAAGTTTAGCAAGCCTTTGGTTTGGAGCTAGGTTTTGCCATGGCGTTCCCATCTTTGCAAGATGGCGTTAGAAGTAATAATCACGCACAGAAAAATCATCTGTGCGTCATTACGATGTGATTCAACTCATCTGGTAGATTTCTTTTCTAGGACTTTCTATCTCTTCATCTGCTAAATAATCCTCCTTTTCATCCTTTGCCCTTTCCCAATGTTTGCGGTTCAAAAAATACATATAAATGTTTTTGTTTTGTTTTTTTTGTCAGTAATAATCTCTTGTGAGGCCTGGTAGTTAGAGCTCTGGTTTTTGTCTGGGATTCACATCAAGGCTCTGCTTTTAATTTTTAAGACCAAATAAAATACTGCCAATCTGTGAGCTTCAGTTTCTTCTCTCAGTTGAGTACCGTCGAGTTGGTTCCGACCTACAGCGACCCTGTATCAGGCCTTGCAGATCAAACCAACTTCACAGTCCAGCGCATTAAACACAGGGCCACACCAGGGCTCCTCCTCTCAGGTGTCCCTAAAAAAGATGTGTGGCCCTGTGGGTTAATGCGGGGAATGCAAAGTCCTTTGAACTGCAAACTCTTGGTGTGTGGCGCTGTGGGTTAATGGGGGGGGAGGGAGGGTGCAAAGTCATTTGAACTGCAAACTCGGTGGTTCAAGCTCACCTCAGAAACCCTATACAGGGTCTCTATGGGTCAGAACCAGCTCGACAGCACTTAGCAACAACAACAACAAAAGATGTGTAGGAGACTGCCTCTTGCAACCTTGTAGTAGTAGAGGCAACCCAGGGATCGATCATCAAAGGGATGGATAAGAAAAATGTGATATATGTATACGATGGACCACTAGAATGAATTAGATCTATATACAGTAACAAGACTGGTTCTCTCAAAAACAGAATGTTGAGTGAAAAAAGAAACAACAAGATTTATCATACAATACTGTTTATGTAAATTAAAACACACAACAATACCATATATTTTCCACAGCTACACATATATGTAAATAAACACATAAACGGTGGATTGGAAAGACATATGTTAAATACACAAGAGTGGGTGCCTATGTGGGGAAGGGGAAGTGGACCAGGAATGGGTAATGAAGGGGAAAACAAAACAAATCAAAATGAAGAATAAAAGGGCCTCACATGGACCAATGATTATACAGTGTGCTAAGAACTGAGGAGTATGATCAACTCAGTTCTGTGCAACTGAGAGAATAAATAAATAGTAAATTAATTGAGTGCCCAAGGAGCAGGCTGGCTGAGTAGACTCCAAAACTTCTTTTTCTTTCCTGTGACATCCCTCCCTTGAATTTATCCAAAGTTTACCAAAAGCTGTTAGGGAGGGCTGCTATTCCAGACTTTGCAGTACCTCCAGAAGCCACAACTTTATGAGAAGGGGAGTATTTCCAACTCTTTTCAGTTCCCCCAAGCTTCATTTTGAATTCCCAGTTCCTATTCTCCACAAGGTCAGCAGTTCAAACACACCAGCCGCTCCTCGGAAACCCTACACAGGGTCGCTATGAGTCAGCACCAACTCAAGGACACTTAACAACAACAGTAGCATTATCCATGGTGGCCTGCTTTCAAGAATACCTTGTTTATGCTTGGTTAGGAGACTGAGACAGGGTGTGAGGATGGTGTTCAAAACTCCAGACTTTGTGGAAAGAGATATGGTTACAAGCCCCCACGCTCAGAACCTTGGTCAAGGAAGGAATGAATACCTTCCTTAAGCGCACGCGCATTCACGCACATGCACACACGCACACACACACACAAACACACACAGAGTTTTCAAATTCCATTTCTCCAACCACTCTATTTGCTACCACAGACACATACTGTAGTTTGTATTCTCTCACCTAGGTGCATATTTCTGCTTGTGTGTATATGTGTGCACGTGTGTGTCCATGCTTGTATTTAGCTCCACATATTGGCATTTACTCACATATGTGCATTGGGCAAATTTTCCTCAGGGATGCCTCCCCACTCCCACTCAAGCATACCTCTCCACACATAGTTATACAGAGAGAACACACAGACAGACAGACAAACAGACAGACACACACACACACACACACACACAGCCAGAAAGAGAAAACATCCAATATAGCATTATTCATTTCAGTTTTTCCATTTACAAAATCCAATGGTGTATCCAGGCAGTTAGAAAAAAGAAATGGAGGAAAATCCTCCTGAATATACCCTATCCACCCCTTTACCCCCTTAGCCCCCCACCCTGCCCCTGGGAAAAGCACCCCCATGACTATCACTGAGAGAACAGGCACACCCCACTCCTACCCACTCCAGTCTGCCTTTCCAGGGCTACTCCACAGCCAGGCTCATTACTGTCTCCTGTCTAGAGTGCCTTCCACACTTTTTAGGTCAAATCTTCTCCAGTTCTGGGGCTGTCTTAAAGTAGAGAAGGAACTTAGGACAGAGACTTCTATAGGGAAGAGAAAGGGGAGATGGATAAATATAGATCCCTTCCCTAGGAAATTAGAGGGGAACAGAGATCAGGCCAAGGGGTACCAGCTTGCCTCCTGTATTCACAAGAACTAGCCTTGAAGTGAGCCCAGAGTAGATTCTGTCTTGGCCTGGAAGGGAGGCTTGGGATCTTCCACCTGGGTAAGCTGGCTGCAGTCTGCTTCTCTTTGGGTATAGGTAATGGTGGAAGGAGGAAAGGGGAGAAGGGCTGTGGGGAAGAGGGAAGTTTAGGGCTAAGGCCCCAGAAGGTCAAGGACTACTAGGAGACGCTTGAGGCCCCTGAGGTTTGAAAGCGAAAAAAAGAGGCCAGAGAGGTATGGACACAAGTCCATACTGCCTTGGGTTTTATATCTCTGAGAGTTACCAAGGCCCCAAACAAGTTTTCATCTTCAGAAGAGTAGGGTGAACCCAGGAAGCAATTTTAGAGTTGAATTCCTCTCTGACCCCAGGCTTTAGGATCCAGCTACTTGGAGGCTGCCCCTGCCTATATGGTACCCACATTAGCACTAGTGGGGCTAGTGTGGATTTCCATCCTCAGAAAGAAGAGTTGGGGGCTGGGGATCCAGGATACAGCTCCAGAGAACAGTCAGCTTGAGGATTTTAGCTCTGCCTGGGCCCATCACCTCCTGGTTTCTCAAGCAGACGCTTGAGAAGCACTTAGGAGGTCTGGACATGGTGGGGGAGGGACAAGAAACTGGGCTTGAGATCAGGGTTAGCCTAAAACAACATTGCACACAACATAGCAACCCCTGCTTCCTGGGACCCAGCACCCTTTTTGGTCCCCTTTATCAGAAGCTTTGGATCAATTTTTCCTTAAAGCATCCAGGCCTTGCTAAAGGACTTGGAAGGTGGGTGCGTGGGGGTAAAGGGGGCAATAAGAGCTCTGGAAGTCTATTTTACAGGACAAAATTTCCCTCTCTGGACGTCAGAAGGAGGGACACTAAAGCAAGAAAGCCTGTCTTCTCAGCTGTTAGTAGAAAAACCTGCATTTTCAGTTTTCTTTTCTTTTTCTGATTTGTCAATTGAGAGAAAGAGAAAGAAAGAGAGAGAGAAGAAATGAAGAGACAGCAGAGACAGGCCCCATATAACTAGAAACACCTCTTTCCCCATTTCCCACCCAGTATCCAACCCTGGGGAGGTATTGGCAATGGTGCCTAGATTATGGGCGGTTCAAGGGGCTGGGGCTAGAGCTCAGAAAGGAAGTCTCCCGGATGGAGCCCCACCGCTCCCTTGCAGCTGGCCCCAGACCTTTCCTCTGCTTGCCTGCCTACCAGCCTGCTTCACATGACACAGTAGGGTTCTCTGGGAGCTGGGGCACCTCCTGTGCCCCAGCAGGGGGCATGAGTCCTCAGGCACTTCTTGAGGTCCTTGTTGAGCAGAAAGCAGACGATTGGGTTGACAGCAGCCTGGGCGAAGCTCATCCAAACAGCAGTGGCCAGGTAGCGATGGGGCACGGCACAGGCTTTCACAAACACTCGCCAGTAGCAGGCCACGATGTAGGGTGACCAGAGGAGCAGGAAGAGCAGCGTGATCGCGTAGAACATGCGGCCCAACTGCTTTTCACCCTTGACCTCGTCCATGCCCAGCAGCCGTCGGCTGGCTGCATGCCCATTTTGCCGGATACCCAGCAGGGTTGGTGGCATGGGCCCTCGACCAAAGCCGGCGATCCAGTTGGCAGCAGCCTGGCCAGTGGCCCCAGGGCCATGAAATGTCCAGTTCTGGCTGATGGCTGGTACCATCTGCACTGGCTTCATCTTGCGGTGACGATACTCGAAGAGGAGCAGCTTGCCATAGACAGCGTGTGTTGCTGCCATGAGCA